GTGCGCATGCGCAGTAAACCCTGATAGGACAATCTGACGGGTAGGATAAAATGTCAGGACACCTGTTCTTTTTGCTGAGCTGATCCAGATCCCTAAAAAGAGCCGAAATTCCCATCACTACCAGGAACTGAGTTTGACACCCCTGATATATGCGGTGTGTGCCGCACAAGTCTTGAAAAGTGAAGCCACTGTTTAGATCGCCCCCAGGTGGCTGATCCCAGTATAGGTCATACACCCCGGCCTCTCCATGTAATCTAATGGGACCAGTGTTGCCAATTTAGCGACTTTTCAGACCCCCTGAAAATTAAAACTTTTTTTCCAAAAAAGCGACTAGCGACAATTCTAGCGACTTCTTGGACAAACCTTAGGGAGTCTCTGTGATCGCTGGTACTGACGCAACGGTGCGAGGTTAGCGCGCACACACCTCTCTCGCTGCGTCTGCTCTGTTTAGCGAGCGGCTGAGAGGAGCAGTTAAAATAGATATTATGTTGCTTCTCTAATTTTACATGCAAATATAGCCGAAATCACAGCACAGGAATTGTCTGTGTCTTGTCTTTTCTTATGTGCGTTTCAATTCTTCAGACGATGGATTTTTGTGCAGATTAACTTCTTGGAAGGGAGAGCTGGTTGTGTAGTCTTAAAGGGACACATTTCAGTCACTATTTCATATTTATTCTGTTGTCTGACAACAGAAACAGTAATATATATAAATGAAAACAGTTTTATTGAGAATTTGGCTGCATTAAAAAAGAGTATGTGAGCACAGAGAGACAAACAAATGTAAAAGGCAACAGAGGCGCTGACTTCATGAATATGCTAATTAGTGTATGACGTCATCTGGCGACATTTAGCGACTTTTCAAACTGGCTTTAGCTACTTTCTATTGAAAGAAGTCGGCAACACTGAATGGGACGTAAGACTAGATAAATAATAAAATCTCTCTTAAAATATAATGGAACGCGGCAAAATCAGTGCAATACATCCGCGCCCTATCGGGACATTGGCGGCTTCGCTATTCTTCAATGGAAGAGAGTGAAGGTGCGTCGTCCATCTTTTTTTACAGTCTACGGACTAAACACAACCAGTTCTGATCACTGCAGCCCTGATCAATCAAATCAACTAAATAGGCTTTTCAACAGCATGAAGTTGAAAAACTGATTTGTCTTACCTTATAAGATGAAACCGCTTCACCGATGGGTCTGAACTTATGATTGTCGTGTTTTTGTGAATTAACACACACTAAACACACCGGCTGTTTGTCCTCCAGACAGAAGAGCTTGAGTTTCTCTCTGTGTAAACTGCAGATCTCCTCAGACTCTGATGAACGCCTCTCATTTCTCTCCTTCAGGAACGACTCGCACAAGTTTTTTAACACTAGATTAACTGGAGGATTGTCTTTTGAGGATCTTCTCCTGCAGACGGGACACTCCTGAGTTTTCTTGGTTGTCCAGAACTGCTGAAGACACTCTTTACAGACACTGTGACTGCATGACAGAAAAACAGGAGTCTTGAAGATCTCACAGCACACGGGACAGATATAATCATCTTCAGACTGTGAAGCCATTGTTTTCTCTTTGAGCTCCAACAATCGAACCTTTAGTTTCACTTTCTGGACGAAGTCCGTTTGAAAAATGAATCACAAAGATCGTCGATCTGTCAGTTCAGAAATAAACTTCACAAAATTCCTTTTTGAAAGTGTTTCTCTGCGTTCTTCGATGATGAATCTTTATTGCTTGTGTCAGTAGAGAAGTGAGTCAGTAAGACAGAAAGGAGAAATAACACATCAGTCTCTTCCTGGTAAGAGCTGTAAGAGGAGGAGTTTATGATCACTTGAAGAACAGCATCAGGATTGCTTCTACACACTGAACGATTTCAGCAAGATCATTACAAATCACAAGGTGCGACATGGAGGAAGCCACGTTCGCTGCAGTCTCGCACAAGAAGATAACTTTTCAAAGTTCATTATGAGCACCTGCTAAGTAAAATACTAAAAATGTAAATGCACATAGATGTTTATCAGAAATATTTAATCAAAAATGACCCCATACGTCCTCATCTCTTGGTAAATAATCAATTGTTATTTGCTATTATCACAACCCACACAACAGATAGAAAGCACTGTGTGACTTCACATGAAATCTATGAATGTGCAATTACAGTATATGCAGCAGCATAGTCCTGAGGCACGACATTTTGTTCCCTTGTATGTCTCCGTATGTTGCGGAATGACAATAAAGCCCACTTGAACTGGCAGACTCTGAAACAACCGTGTTTAGACATTATCAGATGAGTTGAACACACAAAACACGCACAAGATAAGCCTACATATGTCTAATGAACAAACACACCAAGTCAGAAGCAGAGAAACAATCTTAAGAGAGTGAGTTCATTTTGACCTTTATGTCAATAATAATACCCTATTAATTGGAAGACAAACAAAATATGCATATGGAATGTGTTCATAAGCTTCCCTATAAGAAACAATTTCTAACTTCGATGTGATAATTTGAAAAGTATAGATATTCGGTACAACAGGGAAGAACTGCAGAATATAATGTCATACAGATATTTTTAATATTATAAAAAAAATGTCCATCAATGGTGGCAATCGGTAGGCTAATTTCTAATGAAGAGACCAATTTATATAACAGATTTTGATTCATATGTAAACATTGTGAGGTAGCTAGTTATAATGGTAATTAAACAAAGTGTTGCTCACTCAGTGTATTTTTGATTTTACAGCTCAGTAATTTTGGTGCAGTAGCACGAGATAGCTTGATTTAAAACTTTGAATTGAATAAAAAATGACAAGGAGGCTAAGCAGTTAATAATAAAATAAGAACAAATAAAGAAATTACTAATGATAGCACAGATAAAAAATAAGGATAGGCCTACAAATGAAATAAATTGATTTTTAGTTTTTCAGGTAGGTCTAACACACAGTAGGGCTATTGAGATATTTTTTTTTTTTACCAATTATCCAAATAATGTTTAATCCTAGAAAGCTATTATTATCAGAGGACACGTGAGCATAACATAACGGTTAGCAGATCAATGAATGAGAGGGCAGTGTTACCAGAGATGCTCATATACCACACTGTGTTACAGCACAGCAGGGCTACTGCAGACAGAAACAATACTGTACTACATCCATGTTTTCCTGTCGGCTCAATTTCTGAGTGGACTTTGCTGTTCCGAAGAGCATGAACGGTATATGAGTGGAGCACTCACATGGGCCGTGAGCGACTGAGCGGAGCACACACACGCATAGAGCGGGATAATACACAGAGTGTCACACCGCGTGAAAGTGAAACCTGAGCGGTGAACTCATTTTCGGCAGCCGAAATTGCAGTGCATCTCTAATTATTGGCGACATCAGAAATGGATATTATATAATAGATGCTTTTTTGAACATTTTAGCAATTTAAAAATATTAAAAAATATTGTTTTTTACACGGCACCCCTGCTCTCGACAGACGGCACCCCGGTTGGGAAACACTGTTCTAGATCATAAGATGTGACGGTGCCTTAAAGGCCTGTCTGAAACAAGTTCTCTTAAGAGAAAACTTCATACAAAAGCTATGCCTGTGAAGTCATTGAGTGTTTAAATGCTCAATAATATGCTGATAAAATTAGCATATTCTAAATGATTTTATGTAATTATATTGCACTACAATTATTACAAATTAATTTACTTAATATTTCAATTATTTAATAACCATTTATAAATAACATGGCACTTAAGGCCATACTATATTGTAAATAAAATGTGAGCACATAGCCTCTAAATATTGTGAGCTATACCCCCAAACTACATGTGATGAAGTCTGTTGTTCTGTCTT